AAATAGGTATTATCGTTGAGGTGTCTTCGCAGTATCTGGAGTTATCTGATGTCGTAGAAAGAGTATAGTATTCTATTCACGCATTTATCGTATGACGCCTATTGTTCTTAGTATTCAGTATTTTTAAGGAAGCACTATACTGGCTATTTTTATATTTTTCATTCATTTTATTGATATCTCATAATCATTGGAACTTTGTATATTGTAATATTCACTTAGCGTGCTCTGTGTTATTCACAGAAAATAGTACGACGTTTATATTATAGGAATATTAATTAAATTGAAGATTTGATAATATAGCTTTGAGTGATCAACCATTGATAACTATATTGATTTCTGATATCGTAGTCAATTAAGTCCGTGGAACTGTGTACGTGTGTTAGGTATTTTGATTCATCCGCCACTTTGCCTAGTAATAATATGTCCTGGTTACTATGTGAGTGTCTACAAACATGATCTATCACACATGGATATTGTATTCCAATATCGCAGACAAGGCAGTGTTGTGTATAAGTGTTGGATATTTTGATGTACCTTGTATATACCTACTATGTGTTAGGTTCTGCCTAATGTCAATTGCTGTATGGAAATTTTCTTAAATGATCCACTCTGTATATTTGTTTCTTTGTTCATATGAATCGTCGGTTGAATTTCACATGTTTCTCCTTTCAAAGAATGTATATCCACGTAAAATAAATCATTCTGAATAATAACATTTTTGTATGAGAGGTAACGTTCCATTTTTGTCCTATATTTTCCCTATTATTTCTATCCGAGAGGCCTTTGAGTTCTGAATTTTTCTATCACGTTATAGTGATAAACTCCAATTCTGAATTATAAGATCATGGCTGTGATATGGGATAAATATAATATATTATTTTACTTCAATAATTTCCTATGATAATGTTTTTCGGATATAATAATTATATCGCAGTAAACAGGAAATCGTTATCGGCTGGCATTGGTAGAATCATTCTTCTTTCATTCCAGTTCATTCAGTTTGATATAAGGAATATGTTTATGAAGTTATCGCCTATTTATTTTCGAATTTTTTGCATGGACAAATGAGGGGTGATTGGTTATATTTTTTGTTGAATCAATCATTCTTCATTTCTATTCATTAGTTCGATTTTCAACACTACCTGTTAGGAGCTGGGGTTTTTCCCAAGTGTCGGACTATACTCTGTTCAGTGTCATGTGCATAGTTTCAGTGAAAAGTGTCTGAAAATGGTGAATTTCTTCGCTGTTCAGGTATTTATATCCTATTTTTTCCTGTTTGCATACGGGGTAGCTCGAACTTCGTGCTTCTGAATATCTTCGGAATACTCTTGAATACCTCTGAAGACCTCTGAATACATCTGAATACTTTTGAATACCTCTGAAGACCTCTGAATACATCTGAATACTTCTGAAGGTATGATCTGAAGACCTCTGAATACATCTGAATACTTCCATAAGAAAAACGAGTTTTGCTAAAGAGTTGTTCGACATATTTCGACGTGGACGGTAAAAGGATGTTTTTACTGGGTATAGGTGTGCTGAGTTCGCCTGATGTCTAATATTATCATTATAAGTATAGAGAATTTCAAGACTCTGGCTATGTTTCTGTATATAGAAACTGCTATTCGATCGTTTGTTATCTACCTCGGTCATCTGCTGTCATGTCATCTATCATCCATTTGATTGAATTACATCGTGATTGGGTTCATGGTAGTTCGATAGTTTGTTTTTCATTATTATTTGAATGAGTGGTAATAAATTTTGAATTTTTTCTACCCCCTGTATATGTTTTTCAAATAATTCATTCGACTCGAGATTTGTGATTCATTCTGTATATGTTTCTTGAATATATATTCCACTCCACTTATTTGGCTCATCCTGTATATGTTTTTTCAGTTGACTTAGGTTTTTCTAATCGCTTTGTATATAATGATATTCGCGAAAAAGTACGTAGATCTGGGGAAAACTCTGCTTTGTTTTACGCAGTCACTTATGGGACGTAACTTGTAATTTCCGTAGAATCTAGGGAAAAATTAACTCTTTCGCTTTCTTGAAATTCGTAGGTTGTGCTAAACCTGGATATCTGTTTTCGATAAGCGTTGGAAGGTTACGTGTCATACATCTCATCTGTCGAATAGTATAAATGTCATCTGTCATACTTTAGTTGTTGAATGTCTGAATAATTCGATTTTCATTCTACAACTTCACCACCCTGTATCTCAGAAAATGGAGCCATTTCGGACTGAGTAAGTTCCTTTAATCCAACTGAATTTAATTGATCTGCCCTATACATGTTTGTATTACTATTTGAAAGCCCTGTATATTCAACGGACTCTAGCGAGTCATCTGTCATACGTTAATATGTTCGCTGGGTCCGCCTGTCAGTTCTTGCCTTCTTGTATATATTCTTATTGCTATCCAAACACCCTGTATAATGATCGGAATCGTCAAATAGCGTCATCTGTCACACTTTTGCTGAGTCCAACTTTCACTTGTTGCAACGAGTGCCCTATATAAGTTTGTAATGCTATTATTGCTGTATATCGAAGGGATACTATATCATACGTATGTTTGCTACTCCGTGAGACGCCCTATTTCTTATCGCTATTGCTAACTCAAACACCCTGTATATATTTTTATTGCTATCCAAACGCCCTGTATATATCATGTTATAGCGGGTAGCCTTTATATGTAGGTCGGACCGGTATAACGCCTTTTTGGGTTCACCCTATATTTTTTTCTCAACTATTACCCAACTCAAACACCCTGTATATAACCGTTGTTGAAAAATGGAATAAAATGCGCGCCGTTATCTCTAGAACGGATCTATCGCTTTGCTCGCCGTCGGAGCCGGATGACCTTGAAGTGGCCAAAAAATTGCAGAATGAACCTTAACTTTTCTTATGGAGATTAACATGGGAAAAGTGGTCAAATTGGTCTGGTTCTCTTGTAGCCCATTTACTCCTATGATATTATACATTTGATTATAAATCGTTAAATTTCAGAGATTAGTTCTATGATAAGAATAGGAAGAAATATAGATTTAGTATCCCAAGAAGGTAGAATTATTCACATTCCTACAAGATTCTATATTGCTAGATTCTTGTCCATTATAAGGTACTAGTATAACCAACTGGAATGAGTTGTTGCCTGATTTCCAGTTATGAAAAGTTTAAAATTATTATCAACACGTTCATGGGGATTTGAAGGCAATCCTATGGCATGTTGCCTCCTCTGAACAATATTTCTTAAATTATGTATATATGGAATATGGAGATGATCTACTGAATATTTCAAAATTAAATCATCCATTCGCTTGTATCATAGTGATTTCTTGTTAGAAATGCGGCAAAACCGCGTTTCTCAAATGGTATTCAGATATAATTAAAATGGCCAATTTGGCAACTTCGGCCATCCTCTTAGCCATTACGTAGATATTTCTAATTTTGAAGGATAATTATTCACATCATATTTCGCAATTTTCATCAACCACTGTTTTCTTTCACAGTTTGTACTCCTATTTGTTCACTATATTCACATTGAAATTACAGTGTTATGGATATAAAATTATTTTACCTCATTAACAGAGAGACTGGTATAATAATAATAATATTTATCCAAATGCAAAAAAAATTAGAACAAATATTGTACCACTTTCGAAGCATCCTTCACAGATGCTTGTTTGGAAGTTTGATAATAGTAGGTATCATGTACTACGAAGATTATAAATAACAGCAGTAATAATGTACATGTGCCCAATGATGGGAACAAGAATTGAAATATTGAGTTGATCATGGATATATTGAACACTTTCACACGGTTATTCAACTTTTTTTATTCTTATTCTAACTTTTCTCTGAGAGAAATATAATAAAACCATGATATTATACTTATATCTAATTATTCTGTACATTATTGATTGTTGAAAAAATCATTAAAAAATGAAATAAGGAATTCAAAATTAAATTAAATGGAATGAAGGATATTTCTTTGGTATCTATATATTATGTTTAATTCATTTGATTTATTTATTTTCAATGATAGAGCGTATAAGTTCAATTGGGGTGTTCTGTGTGAATATTTTCATTTGATTATCGAAGGTGAATAAATTGTTCGCTTTTTGTAGTATTTCTGGTAGGATATAGAATGCTTTTGGGCCTAGGTATGGATACTATTTTTTGATTTATGATAAACAATTGTCTTATGTCGAATATTTCAGATTTCTTATATTGATCTGCTTGAGTATCCTGTTTTTTATTAGAATTATTCTCAAAAATATTTTTTGTGCAACTTCCAGCGTTTTCAAGTAGGTTTTCGCTACCTCTCCCCAGCCTTGAGATAACATAGTTTAGATGAGATTCTACTAGACAATGGTACATACAGTATCTTTTCCTGTTTAAAATTAAGGATATTGTTCACTTGTTTATTTCTTGTGAATTACTTGTCATCTGACATATGACCGAATTACGTGAACTGATTCCCCGTTTACGTAACAGATAACATGTAACCAGCCCTCAGTCTAGGTAAAAAAACATGAGAGAGTGCCAATTGAAATTCAAGAGTTTTAGGAAAATTATCGAATTGATTCATCACAATAGCTTTTGATCCCATATACTACGCCGCAATATTAAATTGTTTGTTTGCAATTAATCATCTGCTGGGCTATAGGCTGTGACAATAGCGGCATCATTATCATAGTTTGGAAATCTTGAAATTCATGAGCTCTGAGTTCAAAAAGAAATAATGGTGCAAACCTCATTTGCTTATCATTTTTCAATTTCTGAGCTTGCTGAAATTCTAATTTTTACTTCTTGATCTGTATTTTCGCCATTGTTTCGTTTATATTTCTGCACAGTCTTCTTAAAAAAAACATGTTGCCAATGAAAGCATTCTCAATAACTACCGCAATACCGTCCAATCGCGACATGTTCTTTGAATGCGACTGTATAAATGCTATCAAATTTGGTTACTGTATTATAAAGAAAATATAGTATACTCACAAACATAGTTTGTTGCATTTTGGTGGTTTTGTCTTATGTTTTCGACCACATGGAACTACAAGTTTTGTTGTGCCACATCTACAAGACACTTCATCAGTCTGATTGCATGGATAACACGGTCCACGATGACATACTGAAATACACTTGTGGTTCCCACAGCTCAAAGTACGACCACATGACTTTTCACAGGGCGGACAATTCTCATCACAACACTAAAACAAAATGTGCATCAATATAAACGAACGAGTTGAATAGATATTATATGAATCAAATAAATCGTATCTGAAGAAATATTATATAATGTACTGAAAGCAGTTTGAAAAATAATCACCTTCCGATTGCAAGGATGCTTGTTACAATCTTTCATCCTTTTACATTTTACTTCACATAAATAAGGCTTGAAGCACTGAACTTCTTTGGAATGCAGACCACATCTACATAATTTCTCAACAGTTTCAAGGCACTAGAATTGAAAATAAATATAAACTTTATGAGGATATTGGGATGCAATTATTATACAGGGTGGATACTTCAACAAGAATAAATTCGCTAGCAACGTGAATGATTTTTATAAACTCTATGGCTTGTGACCTTTCATTGGAAATCTGGCTGAAAGGTAAATCCAACGTACAATTTTAGATTGTAGAATTTGAGGGTTGCACTAAATCAAAAAATGATTCATTTGGATGTAATCATCGATATTTATAATCGATTTAGTTAAATGATACATTTTCACAAGCTAGCAACACTTCTTCCCAAACTATGAATATGGCATACGAACTAAATTTCCTTTTACGGCTGTATAAAAACACTTTGACAAAATAGCAGATATCAGTTGTAGTACATAATCGCTTCGAATTGTTTGTGGGGACAGCAATTGTCAGGTTGAAAATAAATTGAATCATAAAATTACGTTTCGATTGTATTAAACCCTTAAACGTACGTAAAATTTGATCAGTATGCTAGATTCCTCTTTCCACAAGCTTTCCAAAGAGGGGTCACAATTCAAAGGGTTGCATACCCATATTGAGGGTGGTTTTAGGTACCCCTCTCAATGGCTATTTCCCATATGGATTGCAAAATGTGGGGAAAAACATTCAAACGTTGACTCATTTCGAGCGAACTAATTCCAGTTGAAGTGTCCACCCAGAATTACATTCCAAGAACGCCTAACACACGGGCAATTTCCAGCTAATAACAAATAACTGAAGTACACAATATTTTCATACTAAAAAAAATATAGTATTCACCGTTGATTATGACCATGGTTACTTTTAACATGTTATTTATAGTATATAACCTATTTATGGATTTGGCCTAGTTTCAACTAGTGTGCCTCAAACATCTCATTACACACCCTATGAAGAGTGTGGACATGCTTGTCACCACTGACATAACCGAATTGTTATTATTCTTAAAACGTCAGCTCTAAGAATTGAAAAGGCGTCCCCGCAAAAATTTTCTAGAATATGACTTGTTCAGTGACGGATTGCAAACATTATAAGAATGATGGTTACCATTTTGTTGAGTTGCCCAAAGACGAGAAGACATTTCATGTATTCGTTAAAGCTTCAAATTTAAATATTCAGCTCATGGAAATACATTCAATGATGTAATTTATTAATATAACTATAAAATGAGCATTATGTGCCTTTCGTGTTACGTCACTTTTAGGGTTTCGAATAATGAAATGTCTGTACTTGTTCAATGAAACGGTACAAAATGATATAAAACATATTTGTGCCTCATGTGTTTTGTTCAGCTGTTTAATAACATGACAACTGTGTTCACACTCTTTGAAGGGCGAGAAATAAGATATTCGAGATACTTCAGTTTCAACCAAACGAATCTTGATATCAGATTAAATTGAATAATTCCCCAATATGCTTAACAACAAAAATAAAAAAATGTAACAACATTTTTAGGTTTTTATATTGATGAACAATTATCGTGGACTAAACATATAGGTTATTCGAAGAAAATCTAAATCCTACTGTAGATATTTTATATAAAATTCGGAATCATATTCCTGTTAGATACCTAAAGCGTATTTATTTCTGTATCATTACAATATATAATATCTATTTACAAATGTTTCACGTTTGGAACCCCTCATAAAAATACAAAATACAACAATAATATCAATTTACATTTTATAGTATAAAGACTTGCTGAATCTAGGTTCATTAAAAGGGTGGCTCGAAATTACATAGACAAATTCCTACCACAGATTCTGGGAACAAAGAAAGTGAAAAAAAAATCATATGAACATGGGTCCAGAAATGGCTCCTGGGGAGTTATCGCCATCTGAAAGAAGGCCCGAGATGATGGATTTGGTTATGTGTGTTGGGAGAACGAAATTTTGTACATGTATATTACTTTTCATGCCCAATTTGGAAATGTTGAGAATTCTCCAAAATGTTGAACAGGGGCGTGGGAAATAGGTGGAGATAGGAGCATTTCTTCCCCCAACTTTTTTCTTTACAATTTTTGTTTGATCAAGGTACCAAATTTTTGCAAAAATTATTTCTCGTTAGAAAATACTCTTTCTGCAACATCTACTTATGATATTTGACTCAAAATATGAGAGGAACAATGAAAAGAATAATTTGAGAAATATTATGGTAGGTATACCCTATTAGTAATTTACTATTTATATTATGCAACACTTTTAAAATCGGTTCATCTCGAACTCGGTGAAAATGTTGGGGGAAAATTGCCCCGTAGCACCACCTATTTTCCACGGCCCTAATCAAAATTTCGAGAAATTTTCAAACTATCCAAATGGAACATGAAAATAATATACATGCACAAAATGTCCTAATCTCAACACAGAGGGTTTCGGAAATGTTTACAAAAAAACATCATCTCGGGCACTTTATCAGATGGCTATAACTCCTCAGGGTTTATCTCTGGGCTCATGTTCATATGAATGTTTTGATAAAGTCACCAATTTAGAACAGAGGTAGACCGATATAATATGAACAAATTTAAATGTGGAGTCATCGGCGAACTGCCTCCTGGCGGATGTGGTGCCTATTTTCCACCAGTGGACACCTGAAAGACATCTGAAGTTAGATAAAGTTTGCTGTTGAACGTTTGTGAATGTTTATTGAATGTTTTGAATGAAATCATGCCTTTTTACAGAAAAACTTCTATGGAACTTCGACTATCGCTTCAATAAAGTCATAATTGAACATTATATTTTATAAAGACACGGCCAATGTTGACTTTTATGAATGGTCAAAACTTTGTAGACAAAATAATGACAAATCAGAATATGGGAAAAACAGAGTATTTCATTTAAAAGAATCGTAATTTATGTAACCCCGCGTTCATAAGTAAACATCTTTTAGATATCAAAATAATTTTGTTTCATAGGCCTAACAGTATTGTACCATATTCCAAAAAATATTTTCTCTTTATCTTATTGCAATGGAGCTATAGAGTTTTTCCACACTATACGTGGACACCCGGTATATAAATTATAAAAATATTTCATTCAAAATAATCAAAAGCAAACCTTCAGCTGCAAACTTTATTCAACTTCTGATGTCTTTTCGGTGCTTACTAAAGACCATTTTGGATACGACCTCTAGTCTACGGCCGCCAGGGAGCAGTTGGCCGATAGCTCCACATCCCAATTACTTCATATTATATCGGTCTACCTCTGTGCCAAATTTGGCGCCCTTATCAAAAAGTGCACGTTTAGCTAATCTGCCGTTCTATAGGAGTTGAAAAATATAAAAGAAGCAACAAGATTCAAAATCATTTTGAAGAAATATCTGCTCAGTACACTTTAATTCCAAAGTAATAATCATTCGACTTCTGGGGAGTTGGTTCCCAACTATGAAGTAGCAATATACCAATAACATGAAAAAATAAATAAAAATAACAAAACGTTGCTTGACGTGCCTTGAATATGAACTTTTTATACAAAAGGTGGTATATATTCGATAATCAAAGACCATATTTCAGGACAAAAAGCTATATACATTGGTCATGATAAGCTTCGTTTTACAGTGTGGCAAACTCAAGATAAAGACACTCATGTTTTTCAGTCATTTTTTAAAGCAGATTTGAGATTTGGTACAAACATACACCTTCATGGGCCGCACTTTTTCAATACTCACCCCAAATGACAGCCTTAAACCCAGCCACTACAATCCCGCGAAAAGGGAAATTCTCAATATTTTGGTTTGCGTTGGAGGTACCGAAAAATGTTATTCGAGAAAGTTGCTTAGACATTCGAATTTTGAATTCTGAGATTAGTTAAAGCTAGTTAAGGAGACTAAATTTGATTAACTTACATTTGATGAAATAATAATTTTCAATTTTAGTTATTTCCATACGTTTACTTTATTGATTCTGACCATTTGATCATTTCTGAACCTTTAATTCAGAACCATTAATTGAAAATCGGAATTGAATATGACTATTTCACTCATCACATAATCTGACCAATCACGAGCCAGAGACAAGGAGTGCTTATCGCGAAAACATTATTTGTCTTTCAATTTCTACTGGTCTATCAGCGTTGATGTAACGATGTAACCATGGATAGTGAAGCAAAGTCTGTCAGTTTGGCATAAAATAATTATGGCTGTACTTTTTTTATCTTTCGTGAACGTCAAATATTCTAGCAAAATACTACTATGTTCTGAAAATCTTCTCATAATTCTATCTTTCATTGTTAAATTATCTCGAGTATTCCGAACATCATGATATTTATTATGAAAATGAAATAAATAATTCAAAATTCGAATTTTGCGATGAAATTCGGTATGCAGGGTCAAAATCGATAATTAAGCAACTTCTATCGGTATCTCCAACGTGAAGCAAAATATCGATAATTTGGCTGTCACTCGGGCTGGGTATTGTGAATAGTGCGGCCCATGAAGGTCTGCGTCTGTACCAAAACTCAAATCTCTGCTTTCAAAAATGACAAATACAGGGATGTCTTCATCTCAAGTGTCACACTGTATAAGAACGCGGATGAGACCAATTAAGAATACAATAATCACTGTTCAGTTTGCTTTGAAGAATTGTATGACAATAGGAAGACAACAAATTACACATTTCATGAATTTTGACCAAAAATATGGGGTAGCTACATGTCATTGAAGGGCATCAGAGCCATAGATTCTTGATGATATCTTAGAAAGTATATGATCAAATTCTTTCAATCTGAATCATTATTATTATTATTATTAAAGTGAGAATGGGCTGAAAAAAACAATTTCATATTTCTCTCGTTTGACTACCTTGGCGTCAATAAAATATTATTGTCAAAAAATAAAATATGTGTCAAGTGAACATTCTACCAACGACACTGTGCAGGTTTTTGCATTGGAAGTAATTTCAAACAGTAAACAGTGAGAAAGATACTCCTTGTAGCTCCTTAATTATGTTTTCAATATTTTGCCCACTTCATTTATTAAGAAAGAATGAATCACTCTGTATTGTATGAGTTATTTGAGTTTTCTCCCGGTATCTCACTAGACTGAACGAGGAAGACATTATACTTAGATCAAAAGATCCTTCATCACTATGGAATATACCTAAAACACCCTTTATGTAGGAGGATATTTCAGATCTTTATCACTTCCTGGATATATTATTGCTATTTTTGGATTGTAATTTTCAAAGCTTATTTTCATTCTTAATAACCCCCCCCCCCCACTAATAACGACCTATTCTAAACCTACATTTTGTATGACGCAAAAGTGATAGCTTGTTGTGAACACTTGAAAGAGACAGATATTGTAATTAAAACGATGTAAAAACCAATATGTAATTATTTGAAGGAACAATGTACTTTTATCAATACAATGAAATAAATATTTCGCAATAAAAATCAACAAAAAAGAACTAACAGTAATCGACAGTAGTTGTTTTTTATAGTTATTACCTGCCCACATTTTTCTTTGTGACATCTCTGGTTACATTTGTGAACTCCACAATCAAGTAATTTTTCACACGTGTCTTGGCAACAAGGTGTCTCTACTGTACAAGGTAGCCGATGGGTAGATTTTCCACAAGGACATGTTCTCGGTTTTGTCAGAGAGCACATATCACAAACACCATCGTGGCACACTTCCTCACATCTATGATTACCACATTCCAGTGGTTTTTTGCAAATCTGAAATGAATGGGTGAATAATAGAGAACAACTATCCAACAGATGACAGTAGTGGAATTTGATCAGTTGGGCACTCCTGAAATGAATGGGTGAATAATAGAGAACAACTATCCAACAGATGACAGTAGTGGAATTTGATCAGTTGGGCACTCTTTCTGATATTGTACAAGATGTGTCCTTATATTTTGACCCCTACCTATAGCTACAACCTTACAAGGTAGAAGAAAACCTCAGATATGAAAGTTTTAGGGTTTCATCTGTACTATATTCAGTAAGTCCTGAAACAAACAGATGAGAATCGCAAAATGCAATAAAAAGAGTCCAAATCAAATTTTTTAAATGGAATACCCTGTATATTTTGACCTCTAGTGAAAGATCTCTTTCTGTTCACAAGAATATATAGTTTGCCAATGTTCCCTTCAGCCGTTTTCGACCAATTCTTGCTGCACTACTAGATTTTTTAAACATTTTCATACTACAAATTACTATCTCGTATTTTTCAAAAAACGCCTATTTTGTTTCCATGGCATTCTGTTATGTCCACGCGGCCATCTCAATGTTACTTATTGCCAATTTTGATTCAATAGAGTGAAAGATGAATAAATGAAAAACGGCTCAAGGGTACATCAGCAAACTATACAGGGTGCCCCTCCGGGTACTGCATCGATCGATATACAGAAAACAATAGGTGGCCGAATCTGAAAATTTGAGAGTTCACTATTTTTGATAAGTGCTATCCGGCTAAAATATTTAGAAGATTGTGGCACTTCCGGTTGTCCCGGAAGTGGACCCCAATTTCATTATTTTAAATGAGACACCCTGTATATTATCGAGGTTTTAGATTTCACGCATGATTCTCAACATGTTTCATGCATAATGTCATATACCCAAGTCTAACCGTTTTCGAAATATTTCATATTTCAAGTTGAAAACTGCGATTGCAGACCGAAAAATATTTTTTATTTCCGGACATGATCATTAATTTTCGATTGTGTATCGATTTATTCGTAGGAGGAGACCCAGTACAGTAGAATTTCGATATCAATTCGATTACAGTTATACAGGGTGTTCACCAGAAAATGATACAGATCCGGTTGAAAAAATTATTGTAAGTCAATTTTTTATTCTCATTCGATTCGGCATCGAAAATGAAGCTAACTTTGAATTAGGTTATCTATGCCTACACTCAACATTTTTCGAAATATTGGAAAACGATTAGACTTGGGTATAGGACATTATACATGAAACATGTTCAGAATCATGCGTTAAATCTAAAACCTTGCTAATATACAGGGTGTCCCATTTAAAATAACGAAGTTGGGGTCCACTTCCGGTACAATCGGAAGTGCCACAATCTTCCAAATATTTTAGCCGGATAGCACTCATCAACCATAGTGAACTCCCAAATTTTCAAATTCGGCACATCTATGGTTTTCTATATATTGATTGATGCAGTTCCAGGAGGGACACCCTGTATACAGGGTGACATTTTGAAAACTTCTCACCCTCAATATTTTCCTTTCAGTAAATAATATGAAAAATCTGAAAGACACGTCAATTCCATTTTTTATGAAGACAATTGGAATGCATATTCCCTCTTGGTTTAACCCCCTAGGAGGAGTAGATGTTACCCTTAGAACCTCATATGAAAAGGGGGAGGGGTCAAGATGCACATTATTTGAAAGGCGTTCAATTCTCGTTTCAACATTACCCTAGTTTATCATTTTTTGATGAACAGTTTCCGTAAAATGCCGTTCTATGCCTACACTGAGATGCATGGTTTTCAAATTAGTAGATATTGACTCTCCTTTCAGTCCACATGGTGGGAAGATTTTGAACTGGGAGGAGAGTCAATACTTAGTCTGTGGTTTGACAGGGCACATCCGTTCAGTATGAAGTTTGACCATCCAGTCTGACCAAACAAGCTGTTTGGGAATATCGGTCACGTTTCAAACCTGCCCACTAAGTTACCATGTTGAATTTTGATGGGAGTCGAGTCAACCATCAACCATTCTGGAATCACCACCGTGCTTGGACGAATGACTCGACACAGCCTATAATACTAACCTGAAAACCATGCATAACAGTGCAGGCATATTCTAATTACTTCTGTAAATTTAAAACGGCATTGATCGGAAATTGCACATCAAAAAATGATAAACCAGAATACTGTTTGAAAGAGCGCTAAAATTATGTATTGTATATATCTTTTCGACTTTGCATATCATTTACTGAAAGGAAGATATTTAGAGTGGGAAGTTTTCTAATTGACACGGCATTTTTTTGAAACTGCTACACAGAAAACGATGAACTAGGGTGCCGATGGAAAGAATTTAACGCCCTTCAAATGATTTGCCATTTGACTCCCCATTTGAGACTCTAAGGGTAACATCTACTCCTTCTAGTAGGTTGAACAAAGAGGGCTAACACTAATTATTTCAAGTGTCCCCCTCGTAAATAATATCGACCTGTCTCTTCCATGTTTCATATTATTGATTGGATGGAAGATATTGAAACTGGGAAGTTTTCAAAATGTCACCCTGTATATTTGTGAACAGAAGAGAAAGAACTTTCTCTCGTGTTGAAAATAAACAGGGTATTCCATTAAAAAAAAAACAGATTTGGACTCTTTATTGCGATTCGCATTTGTTTAATTCTGGACCTCATAATAATACCCGATAAGGATATTCTGCTAAAAAAGGGCGTTCTATCAGTTGATCATATCTCTGATCATGAGCTTGTAACGTGTGAATTGAATTTAAAATTAGCAAGTAATACACCTATATATAAAGTTATCAGAGATTTTAAAAATATGAATTTTGAGAATTTCAATCATGATCTGAATAATATTACTTTCGATGATATTTATTTATTACAGGATGTCAGTGAAAAAGTCGACTCGTTCAACAGAACTCTCATCCAACTCTTCGATTATCATGCACCCAAGAAAATAATAAAAATTACAAAAAAGTTCAATCCATGGATGACGGATAATCTAAGATTGATGATTTCTCTGAAAGATCAGGCTTATAAAAGCTGGAAAAAAACAAAAAAACCCTCTAAACTAGAATACTACAAAATGCTTAAAAACTATACCACATTAGCATGTAGAAATGAGAAGGCAGCATACTTTCGGGATAAAATTAGTAAAACCAGTACAACAGAATTATGGTCCGAACTGAAAAAGATGAATATAATTCAAAATAAAAATAGGGATATTCCATTAGACCTACAGGACGTTAATAATTTGAATACATACTATATAAGTTCATTGCCAAACATTCAGCCTGATTTAAACAAAATTGATTATTACAAAAACCATACTAGAACTAATAATAGATTCAATTTCAGAAATATAAGTGACATCGAAATATTGAGAATAATTAATGGAATAAAAACGAATGCAATAGGGTGTGACGGACTGAATCTGAAACTAATAGATTTGTGTTGTCCTCAAATTGTGCCCATAATTACTCACATAGTGAATACATGTTTGGATTCCAATAGTTTTCCTGATACCTGGAAGGTAGCACTTATTCAACCAGTCCCAAAAAAGGCAAATCCTTCAGAACCGAAAGACTTAAGACCGATAAGTATTCTCCCAACCTTATCTAAGGTTCTTGAAAGGGTGGTAGAGGAGCAATTCCGGGAATTTTTGAGCTATAATGATATAATACCTGTTATGCAGTCAGGTTTTAGGCCTAGGCATAGTTGTGAGACAGCACTACTGAGTATCACAGATGACATTCTGAGAGCAACTGATTCGAATGAAATGACAATACTAGTACTTTTAGACTATTCCAAGGCCTTCGACACGCTGAACCACGAAATGCTGCTCAGTATCTTACATTATATTGGACTAAGCGAGGATACACTTAAGTTTTTCGAAAGTTATATATCGAATCGCTTCCAACGTGTTCGTATTGCTGAAAATATATCAGAGCCTCTTGGTCTGTTATCTGGGGTACCCCAAGGATCCATACTAGGGCCTTTGCTGTATACAGTATATACTTCGAATTTTGCGCAAGTAATTAATGACACTTCAATACATTTTTACGCTGACGATACGCAACTCTACCATTCTTTCCGTGCAACTCACCTTGAAGAGTCTATAGCTCTTATTAACAAGAACGTAGGTCTCATAGTTGAAGAATCTTATAAACATTCGCTGAAAATAAATGCAGATAAGACTACAGTCTTATGTTTTGGACACAAGAAGAAGTTAACTGTTATTTCAAACGAGGTAAAAATCAATGTAGATGGGCATGAAATAGTCCCATCTGAAGAAGCGAAAAACCTTGGTTTAACAATGGATAACACTTTAAGATTCAGAAAACATATTTCGAATTGTATGAAATCAGCGTATGCCAATCTTAAAATCATCTACAGTAACCGTCAATTCATGGACAGAAAGACGAAAACATTATTATGCGAGTCACTGGTGCTATCCAAAGTTAATTTCTGTGACACTGTATATGGCCCTTGTTTGGATACGACGAGCCAACATCGAGTTCAGGTGTTACAGAATTCATGTCTTCGACTTATTTTTGGCATACGGAGGCGGCACCGTATATCTCATAAACTAAAGGAGCTAGCATGGTTGAATATGAGCAACCGTCGAAAGCTGCATGCTTCGTGCTTATTCCATAAAATAATCACTCACAAGACGCCGCCCTACATCTTCAGGAAACTTTCATTCCGTTCTGATGTTCACAATTTGAACGTGAGACATAAATTCAAACTGACTCTACCGATTCACAGAACAGAGACATTCAAGAGGTCATTTTCATATCAAATCTCGAGCCTGTATAATTCTTTACCTGATTCATTTAAATCGTTATCTTTATGGTCTTTCAAGTATCAGCTGCGCAAACTTCTATTATATCAACAAATTTAGACTTCTCATTCTGATTAGGTAGGTGCCTGTTAGTTATTTGATTACTATTTTTGTTATGGTAATTAGGTATTGTATATGAGATATTAGGCTTATTAAGTCGATT